ACTGGAGCATTATGGGGAACTCAGTAATTGAATTCTGCAAACAATACTTCAACACTCACTTCATGTATGAGACCATGAATCAAACTCTACTCTGTCTCATCCCCAAGTGTCCCCAAGCCACCATGCTAAAAATATTCATGCCAATAGGGCTCTATAATATCATCTACAAAACCATCACTAAGATCATTGTCAGCAGGATCAAGCCCATGCTACCTGAAATAATTGAACCTAGCCAGGCTAGTTTCCTATCAAATAGCATGGCTTTTGATAATGCAATCACTATCCAAGAATACATTGCTCATTTTGGAAAAAGTAAAAGGGAGTCAGGCTCATATGATTCTCAAAATTGACTTAGAGAAGGCTTTTGATAGGCTAGAGCCTAGAGTAGTCTTTCATTAAGGACGCACTGCATGCTTTCAACTTCCCTCCTGGGCTGACTAAGTTAATCTTGTCATACATTAGCTCATCCAACATCTCAATCCTAGTGAATGGGGGCAAAACAGATTCCTTCAAGCCCTCTAGGGGCATCAAACAAGGGGACCCAATCTCTTCTTACTTGTTCATTCTGTGTATGGAGAGGCTCTCCAGGTCAATTGATAAAGTTGTCCAAGACAAACAATGGAACCCATCAGTATCAGTAGAACTGGCCCAAAAATTTCTCATTTATTCTTTGTTGATGACCTTTCTCTCTTTGCAAAAGCCAAAACTAGGAATTGCACCACAATCTACTCTATCCTGCATGCATTCAATGAGAATTCTGGCCAAAAACTTAATCTCACAAAGTCCAGGGTCCTTTTTTTCTCTAACACGATGTGGGATACGATGGAATGCCTCACAAATACATTGTCAATCCAAGCTACAACATCCTTTGGGAAGTACCTTCTAGTACTGACTTCTAGTTCATAATTGTTAATATGCAATCCAAGCTGGCTGGTTGGAAAACAAATTACCTTAATATGACTGGAAGGATCATGTTTGCCAAGGCCTCTCAGTAGTATCCCAAGTCATGTCATGCAATACATCAAATTACCCACTAAGACTACCAAACAAATTGATAGAATTCGGAGGAACTTTATCTGGGGCATAACTCCAAACAAGAAAAAATTGCACTTGGTTAGTTGAGACAAAGTCACTAGGCAGAAGTCCAATGGCGGGCTGGGTTTGCAAAAAGCTGAGCTTAAAAATAAAGTTTCTCATGTCGGACTGGCTTGAAGGATCTACCATAACACCTCCAGCTTATGGGCTAGAGTTCTGATCTCTAAGCACTGTAATTGGAACCATACCCCAAAGAAGCCAAAATCTCATATATGGCAATGTATCCTCAAGGGCTAGGATACATGTAACAAGGCATATAGATGGGTTGTCCACAAAGGTAACAGGGTAAGCTTCATGAATGTTGCTTGGATCCCAAACTAGGCAGCTATTAGGGACATGATTGAGGGCCCTCTAACTCCAAATGGCATAGCTACCAAAGTGGACTCAGTCTACAATTCTGGGAACTGGGATCTCTCTTCCATCTCTATAGACATCCCAGAGAACATCACTAACCTTATTAAATCAACCTCCATTCCTTCATACTCTGCCAAGGAGGACAGGTGAATATGGGGGTTGACTCCAAGCGGGTCCTTCACCAACAAAGCAGCCTATACCTTCTTTAGCAGCAATAAAGAGTCTTTGTAAAAAGGTGAGGAAGGCAACTTTACTTGGATATGTAAGTTAAAAGTCCCTAACAAAATCAAAAACTTTACCTGGCTCCTTGTTCAAGATAGGCTACTTACTGGGACTTTCCTGCACAAATTTGGGATTAACTGTAACCCCCAATGTTGCTTTTTCTTAACAACTCCTGAAACTAGTGACCACATTTTTTTTGAATGCCCCAATGCAAAATGTTATCCAAGGGATCTATTGCAAGTCGGCAATTAAATTCTATTTTTTCTGCCCAGCTATGGCCATTAACATTGAAGAAGCTAAAAAAAACTCTCCTTCAACAATATCATTCCTTGGGAGAACATCATTCCTTTTTGTTTTTGGCATATTTGGTTAGCTATATTTCATAACCTCTTCAATAATAAAAGAGAACATCAGTAATAATAACACCATCTCCAAAGCAACAAAGTATTATATGTTGGCAAAAAATGGTTCTATCAGGAGGCCATTCCATACCAGAGTTAAATGGGAACCCCCCAAGAGGGGTTACTATAAACTCAACATGGATGGGACTGCCAAGGGTAATACTAGCATTGGGAGAATTGGTGGAGTATTCAGGAATCATAATGGGAATTGGATTACGTGGTATATGGAAAATATACCGCATACCACCAATACCATGGCAAAACTGAAATCTCTACTAAAAGGACTCCAACTAGCAGAACAAAATAGTTAGATCCTACTAGACATAAATACAAATTTAGCTGAAGTAATAAAAATGCTACTCACAGGCAACACAACTTACGATCGTATGATTTCTAAATGTATGTTATTAATACAAAGGATGGACAAGGTGATGGTGAGGCACACCTACAGGGAGCAGAATAGGGTGGCCGATGCACTGGTAAAGGAGGCAGCAATTTCAAGTTTTTTCGATAGAACCACCATACTGGCAGTTCCTCCCAAGTTTGAAAATGATGTATTTTGGACAGACATCCTAGGAACTGAAGTTGTTAGGGATTTTTGAGCATGTAATATTGATACAATTGAACAAAATATGGCCGTCTTAGGAGAACTACAGTACCCCAGCATAGACAGTACTATGCAATGTAACTCCTAATCTTTGTTTTTATTATATATATATATATATGTATATATGTATGTATGTATGTATGTATGTATGTTCCCTCTAACCAAAAAATAATTTCTCTTTTTACTAATATATTTATGATTTGTAAATATTATAAATTGATAAATAAAAAAAAGTAGATCAATATATATTTTTACCATATTATCAAATAATTAATTGAATGATTAGTTTTGTGCGTAGTTTCTCTCTATCTATCGGGGCATTTGCATCTATACCCGCTTTTTGTGTCACGCTTTAAGTTGTGCCCACTTTACAAAAAAATTACAAGTGTACCCATTTTTTCGTATAACTTCAGCATACGAGGCTGAAGTGGCAAAAGCAATCTCGTAAAACTTCAGCATTCTAGTAGCCGGGCCTGAAGTTCAGCTCTAGAGCTGAAGTTTTTATTTTGTAACTGGCGAACTTCAGCTCTAGAGCTGAAGTTTTTGTTTATAACTGGCGAACATCAGCTCTAGAGCTGAAGTTTTTGTTTTGTAACTGTCGAACTTCAGTTCTAGAGTTGAAGTTTTTTGTTTTGTAACTGTCGAACTTCAGCTCTAGAGCTGAAGTTTTTAAAACTCTTGAGGATGTACTGCTGAAGTTTCTATTTTTGGGGGAGGAAGATTGACCTTTCAAATTCCATATTCTAAGAATGGAGATGGCTTCATTGATTTATTCTGGATCGAAACGTCGAGGAATGCACTATGGTTCTGCTTGACCATAGCATCTCGACGATGGAGACGGTGTCAAGGGGATTCAGAGAAATACAAAAATATATTTGAGATTTGAACTAATGACGTAAAAAAATATTTTGAGCCAAATCAACCATATCACAAAAAGGTTTTCTTACATTACAATTATTTAAATTATGTATAGTAAGATGGCTTCTAAGGAATTGAGTGAAGCCACAGAAGGAGAGATATTGTTACATCAATGTTAAGTTCCAGAGAGATATGGAGTTAACTGGGAGAAGGAGGAGGAGAAAGGGGGCTGAAGTTGTTTAAAAAGTGGGTACAAGTTAAAAGTTTTTTAAAAAAATAGGTATAGGTTAAATGGGGGAGACCAAATAGGGCGCCCCGTGCAATTTTTACCTATCTATCTATCTCTCTCTTTCTCGAAATAAATCAAATGTGGCATCATTTTCTTGTAACTACTAGTTGAGGATAGCCTATGCCAGCACGGGCCCAACATTGTAAAAGTTAGAATTATTTTTTTTATTAACTTTATTTTCATATGAAATTTGAAAATCGATGCGTTTGGAACAAAATTTCCACTCGATGTTGTAAGGTTGGCAAATGATATACTCTTTACATCTATTGCAGTAAAAAGTGTCAGATTATTTGTATCATGTATAGGAGAACCATTTACATTCTATACTATTTACATATTGGCTGTCAGAATGCTTTTTCTGTGCGGTATTTAGCCTTCTTAGCAGTTTTTGACAAAAAAAGCCTATAAATTATGAAGTAATTTTAATGATCGATTGTCAGTGTTCATATCTCAATGAAAAGGTGGAAAAAGACAATTAAGTTTTGCCAAAGTGACGGCCAACAATAACAAAGAGAAAAATTTTAAAGTTTTCAAGGTTGAAGAAAGCAAAGAGACCTACTTGGCCAACTTTAAATTTCTCCCAACTGTATTGTTAGATCATTATTGTTATTTTAAACATTAACATATTCTTTCATGTAAGTGAGATGCAATCCGTCAAGATGTGAAATGTTCTGAAAATGCATCAAAAAGATCAACAGATTCAAGTCATGTGAATTTTGAATTTTGTATGCCTAAGATAATATGAAAAAAAAAAAAAAAAGAGAGAAGCTTATTTGACACAACAAAGCATAAGGGAACCTGCAAAATCCACTTTCAAAACCTCTTCCCAGTATAACTTAGCATACTCTCTAATATCAATAATTATACCAAATTTGAGAGTTTTTGGACAGCGTGTGATATGTGGCTCATATTTGTCTATAAGAAATATGTAATAATGTCAGTTCAGCCTTACCTATTCATCAGAGCCACAACAATAAGTTATCCTTGATTTTAAAAACTCAGTTAATTGAAATTTAACATGCTTCAAAAATTTCAGTATTTATAAGGTAACGTTTGCCTCTAAACAGATGGTATCACCTAAATGAGCTCCAGGATCCCGATGCTAGTGAGCTATAAACTAAAGCTATTATGATCACGTACAATAGTCAGTCTAGCACTCGGAAAAAGTGTCTGATACATAAAATTCAAATCCAATTTACTTAAAAAAATGAAAACAAATTAGGCAATCAATAGGGAGACGAAAGAAGTTGGAATTTAAAGCCTGAGAACACAACATTTTTATTCTATGCTTAATAAAAGAGAAACTCAAATTTTTGCACACCTTGACATAGATCATGTTGTCGAGGGTGAAGTTATGGTAATTCTAATGGATAAGACAATCAGATCACCAACTTTAATCCAAGATACAAATTTAGCAATCATCCTCGTCTCTTACATCAAGATATCCACTCTTTCAAGACAGTATTATATATCCTCGTCTGCATGTATGCGCTCAGGGTAGAAATTTTTTGACTTCTAATCATAGTTGTCCACCTTCTTGGGTCATAAAATATCAAATCATTCAACGAAAAAGATGATAGTACTAAGAAAATGATACAACTCATTATAAGTAGCTGGTAACGAAACGGAGTTTAAAATGACCGCATATAATATGATCTCCAAACATGAGAACCATAGGATAATCACACAGATCGTGCACGTGCAATTGGGAGCTCTAGTCAAGTTACATTTAAAGTTAATAGATTCGCATAACAAAAAATTAAAGTAACAAGTTCTGATTTTGTGTGTGATGATGAGTTATTTGAGCTTGTAACACAATACATCACCACTTTGAACCTTGACACTTCCAAAGAGCAAATGTATATAGAGTGCAAATGTTAAAGCTATTATGATTGTGGCAATTTTATATTCACCACCAGTAACCTTATACTTGGATATATGACTTTATTTGATAAGAGATTTCACTTGAAAAGTACATAGTGTGAAAAGAGTGGAACAGAATTCAGAAGACAGGAAAACAACACATAAAGTACATACTCCTCACTGCTTATGATCTCCCTGGAATTAGCTAATTGGCACTTTGACACGAGGGACGTTTGCATGAAATTACATCTCATCACCACCTCCCCTTTCCTATGTCCACATATAGCTCAATCATTTTCTTCTTGGATAATTTTCACTGTATTTAAGACACCAAATGATAAATATAAGAATACCACTTAAAACATAGTATTTTATTTTATTTTATATTGTTATCTGAAAGATGAGAACTGTGAACCATTCATTTATCTGACAAAGTACTCTCCATATGCTATGAAGTTTCCTTCCCGCATTCGTTACGTTACGCATCAACTTCGTTTGATAAACTATATATAATTTAGATATCCTAATCAACAAATATCATGACCATCCTTAAGTAAAATAAAAATAACCACAAAAAGTTCTTAGAATTTACCTAGAAAGTGAGAAGTTCATCTCTTACCTCTCAAATATAAGCCACCAATTATTAATTAGTGAAAATCTTTTATAATCTTCAACAAAAGACTTTGCCTAGTCGAATGTTGTGGAAGATGGTAGAAAAGAAGTATGAACAGAACCCATGAAACTTCAGTAAGCACTGCAATACTATACCCAAAATATTCTTCCTTTTAATTAGGCATGACACTCATACCAGTATCATGCTTGATCTCAACAAAAAAATTCGCATGTCGGATGAAACTAATTGGAAAAGCAGAAAAAGGAAAAACAAATACAAACTATAAAATTGAAATTGAAGATTAAGGGATTGTTTAATTTATCATATGCACAGCAAAAATCATGGGGAAAATTGATTAAAATTGTACCTGCAGGTAGACGGAATTTGAGGAAGATAAAGAGAATTGGAGAAGCAATCCAGAATTTGAAAGTTTTTTTTTAATGCACAAAGAAATCGGGTGAAAATCTAATATGGTCCGTAGAACACACGTGTACTCATTTAAAACTTGGGCTCAATTAAAACTTGCACGTAGCATTTTGTATAGAAAAATAAGCAACGTGTATGATATTGTAAGAATTAGTACGAAATGACTAATATACCCTCGAGTTTTTAAAAAATGACATGAAACAGACATGTCGAAACTCTTTCTCTTCTATGTAATAGAAGATAGAAAATCCAAGAGTTTAAAATATACTTACCCTATAAATATAATCCATCGTATGATCTATTGACGTTTGACACAAGAACATGCATGTACTGTATAGGTTAATTTAAGAGTATTTGCATACTAAGAAATATCACCACTTGCGCCGCCAGAAAGGAATGTATAAAGGTAGAAATTTTCTAAATACTAGCTAATTAATATTATCTTCCTTCACAAGTCTAAAATAACTTTTCTCACAACTTAAGGATAATTAAGGTTCTTATACTGACTTTTTCTCTTAATTAAGTATATAATATAAGGGAATTAAAGAATGGAAAACTTCATATATAATATACTGAGACATGTGAAGTAGTAGTAAATTTTTTTTTTTTTTTGTCCGAGAAGTAGTAGTAAAGAAGGTTCTTAGTAGTTTGGAAAGTTTTGCCACATTACACTTCTAAAAGTGAATTTGATTGGTCATTCTATTTTTAGGACTACGTTTAGCATATTTGTATAATAAAAATAAAAAGAGAAAATAAAAAGTCATGATACTTGAGATCTCGCGCATACACATTATATCTCGAGAATAACTTCCTAAAAGTAAGTTTCAAATAGACAGGTTGAGCTATAATAGAGCAGGTTAAAATAAGTTCAAATCAGTAAATACATTTGCTCATAATTCGCTTAATATTTGCTTGGGTAATAATATGCAGGTTAATTCGGGCTAAAAATGGATTATAACTCAACTTGCTTAATTTAAAAGTAATTTTCATTTTTGTTTGTTCTTTAATAATTTGTTTAATTTCTATATCAATCTAATAAAAAAGATCTCATGAGTCAAGTTGAGCTCCATATGCGGCTCAATTTGTAGCCTAAGCCTAAGCTTCCAGATGGGCTAACTTAAATTATGCCCATAATGACCATGTCATATTGGTTAATATGCATAACCTCAAACAAACTTGGCTTAAAACTTTTTAGAGAAATTTTCGCAAATCACTATTGTTTAGTAGTTATTAGCTAGTTGTAGCTACCATTTACTATATTACTTTCTATAGCTATGTTTTCAGTTTTGCTAGAGTGTATTCGATGTATTTAAGCTATTGCATTCATGAATACAGTAGCAAAACTCGGCGTGAAACATGGGAGTACAGCTAGGAAATTATTGTATTCGACTGTATTTACGATGTGTATTTGTGAATATAGTAACGTAAATAGCATAAATCGTGGTCTATTCAGCTGTTTTTAAACGGAAAAGTGAATCAATTAACATAATAGACTCCTAATATAACTCAACAAACTCAATTATAAATCTGAATACATAAATTATATTAATTAAAAAAACAATGAATATATTCATGGAATATAGCGACACAGTGAATACAATGAAATACATGGAATGCAACGAGATACATTGAAATACAATGGAAAAAAAAAGACAATGAATACAATGAAATACATGGAATGCAACGAGATACATTGAAATACAATGGAAAAAAAAAGACAATGAATACAATGAAATACATAGAATACAGCGAGATACATTGGAATACAATAGAAAAAAACGTAAACAGACTCTTCAAGTTGTTCAGCCCCAAACTCCGTCGTCTTTGATCAAGAATAACCCTAATGTCGTCTTGTCGATAGCAGATTTCAAACCTCCATTGTCAGCCCCAATTTACCATATATCAGATTTCGACATTGATACGAAACATAAGACATTGATTTCTAAACAGACTCTTCAACCACTAAACATAGCTATACGAAATTTTCATTGCCAACTTTAATTTACCTTTCAATAGCAGATTTCGAACCTCCATCTTTCTCTCTAGGGCTTGATTTCGACATTGATTCAGAGCCCCAGGCTATTGACAATGAAAATTTCGTTTGACAATGGAGATGAATTAGTGGAGAATCAAGGTTGTATTCATGGAGAAAGATTGGCGTTGAGAGAGAGTGGGTGGAGAAAAATTGAAAGAATGAGAGAGAAAAATAATACAAAGTGTATTTTATGGCTTAAGGGTAGGAGGAGACCATAAATAGATATTTGACTATAAAAATTAAAAGATAGCAATGGAATATAATTTGTTAAAATAAATAAGGTATCAACCTTTGCTACAGGAGGTAAAAATTCCAACTTTTTATCATTGTATTATAGATAGCTAATAACGTCCGAATGAAAAACTCTACGTGAATAATTAACATGAACTTATATTAAAGTCCAATAAATGAAGATTTCATCCAATCAAGAATGTTTTAATCGAAAAAATTCGAGCCGATTGATCAAGTGATGACTATTTTATTTATTATTTCAGTATTAACTTCTATCCGGAATCGAACGGATGGAATCAAAAGAACACAAAAGTACTAGTATTATAGGGTCGATTTTTCTTTTTTCTTTTTTCCAAAAAAAAAAAGTGCATTTGCTGTTTTTGAGAATTTAAACTAATACACCATTTTGTGAATCCCTACTTTCAAAAAGAAGAATTATCCTAAATAGCTACTTACCCATCTGTTTAAATAAAAAATAGCCGAAAAATATATAATATGTGTATAATTATATATAATTGGTATATAATTTATGTATACTGACAATGAAAAGTAACCAATGAATCTGACCGGCTATTTGTGTAAAGAGACGAAAAGACTTTCTAAGAACAGCATGAAACGGGCTGAAAAGAAACCCAATGGGCCGATCAAGCTATTATCTCATCTAGTTTACACTCTCTATACTAGCTTTATTGGATCCATCCTCATGAATTATATCACAACATTCACATCTATCAATCTGAAAAAATAAAGAAAAAGAGAAAAGGAATAAAAATACAAATTTCGGAGTAGAGATTTTGTAATTTTTACACAATAAGTAGAGGTTAGAATCTATTACTCAAATAGTCACTCAACTATCCAAAATATTTAGTAAAGTCATGGTTCTGTCATTTTGTAACAGAAATGTCACTTAACTATGTTTATCGCACTCAGAAGGTCAGTCAACCAGGTTTCTCGAGTTTTTCATGGTCAAATATCTATTTTTATCCTCTATATTACTAACTTTATCTTTTTTAATATTATAATTTTTTTTCTTTTTAATCTATAATGTGGACATGCCTATAGAACAAATAGATCTTATTTATAAAATAAAAATAAAAAATAATTTTCAAACATATATAAGTATTAAAATAATAAATATATTGAGCATAGTTTTCAAGCATGCTTGCCATTGTCTGAAGGGATCCCCGTTGACCGTGACCAATTAAGTAATGACAATAGGATCATTCGTCAGTTTTTGTTGTACTGTTAGCATATAAAGTTAAACTCATACATAGTAATCTATGAGAGATTATGGAAGTAAGAAAATATTACCTCAATACGTTTCGTTGCTGATGAATAAACATGAATTTCATAAATATATTCTGCAGAATAATTTCCAGCAGACAAACAAGCTCCAATCGCACGAGGCCATTCTCTAGTATAAGTAGTTACAATTTCATTTCTTGGATTCCTCTCAACAGATTTGAAGAAAAATAAATGAGGGGCTTCACAAGGATCTAAAGAAAAATTCCTAGTATCAAACATATAACGTGGTGGATTAGGAGTTTCTCCCCATGGTAAGAATGTTTCAATTGGATTTTGTATCCAAATGTTTCACTTGGATTTTGTATCCAACTTCTAGGCATAATTTTCTCATAAATATGAGCTGAATATCCCCAAGAAACTGAAAATGTCCAGTTACTTGATCTTTTGTGGCATATGGTTTGTTGTAACATTCTTGATTGATCATAATTTGCTGCATTTTGGAGGTGGAAAACTGATTTTACACGATCCATAGAAGGAAAAATTGGTTCTACCATGTCTAAATGATGAAGTGAAATTAATAAAGATTTGGAGTGGGATGATAAAAATCCTGTTAGATCACCGTGTAGATCAATCTGCAAGTTAATATTCAAGTATATATTAGGGATCTTTACATAAATAACCGGCTAGATTTATTGTCTAGTTTTTCTAGCCGATATAGATAGATTATACACTAATTATACACAGTTAAATACACATAGTACACGAATATAAATATTCATATATTATAAGGCTATTTAGGTTATTTCTTCTATGTATTAGTAGTAAAGAAGAAACAAGATTAATAAATATAAATGATTGATAAAACATTTCTAGTTCAATTCTCAATCTATGCTAGTAATGAAAAGCTACATGTACAGCCAGGGGCGGAGCTACGATAGGGGGTGCGAGTTCGGGCGAACCCAGTGACTTTTTTGAAAACCCTGTATTTGTATTGAAAAATTTACTCTTTATATATAAATATATCTTGTCGAACCCAGTAACAAAAGGTGTCTAGGTTCAATAATAAGAGTTCTGGGTTCGCTTAGAGAGCATGCGGGTTTGAATCCTGCTGAAAGCAGTTAGCTATTTTCTTGTTTTTTACAGTTTTTCTTTTTAAGATAGCACAAATTAAACGACATCATGGCTATTTTTTCTAATCTTCTCAACTTCCAAATCAAAAAAGTTGGGGTTCTGCCAAGAGATTAAAAATCCCTAAATGAAAATAGGCGCACCAACTCCTCCCTTCCAGCAACAAAAATACTATTTTCCACTGTTAAAGAGCCTTCTTACTCAACTGAAAACCAATAGCTTTTCTCCATGAAAGTTGTTCTCAAACTCTAGCTCCAAAACACCCCAAACTTCAGCTACAAAACTCCATTAAACTCCCACAAAAATCAGCGAAAATCAGCTCCTTACACTCATAGTGGGAGAGGAGTGGTTGTGAGAAAAGCTAGGTTGAACTTAGGAGAGAGGAAAACGAAAGCAGAGAAGA